CCATGCACTCAGTAAATCAAGTTAAATTCAATAAGTAAGGTTTAAAACCAATCCAAATCATATCAAATGTTTAATTCCAGTTCCATACACTCTCAATATGGTTTTGGAATTATTCAACTTTCCTTAGTTTGTCCAAACTAAGTGAGGCTGCTAATCCGGTCAATGACCGCCCCCCCCCCCCCCCCACACAAATCCAAGAGTCGCTGCACAAAAACCTGGCCACCATACAATTTGTCCTTTCCGTCGTTGGATTGCACGGTAGTTATGCGACAAAGTTACTAAATATGTTGTTACCCCACAGCACACATCTCCAGCTGGTACATTCAGAGTTTTACCTCGATGAAGTAAAAGTGAAATTTAGCATGGTATTACATGTATTAAACATCGCAATAAATACACCCCTAATAAAAATTACACGTTCTTCATGTTTCCTTCCTGCCCTCAAACGAAAGTCACTGATCTGTTAAGGTGCAAATATAACGTTCCTCTTCACTGGTTTATTGTAGAAGAGCTTTGACATAAAATCCAGAAAACAAACAGTAAGAGTTCCTAAGTCATATATTGTTTTGAAGATCTATGTAGTCGGCAAATTATGTCGTACACCTAAAGTAACTAAAAACAAGAGGAAAAGGTTTTATAGCACTATTTGGAAGCTGAGGTGGCTTTTAACATAATCAGGTCTTCATTCGCCTTCACGTAACACTAACCTGCTTGAATACAATGAACAATATTTATCCCTGGTTCTTCTGATTAAATGTTAAAATTATATTTTGGAACATGTCAAAACTAGATATAACAGTAAAACTTTGTATTGGGTATTTGCAATTATTAGCACAGCCACAGCACACAAATTTCTGTCGACATTAGTTCACTGAATAACATACACAGGACTTCCCTATAGGAACTGTTATATTTGTGATTAAGGATTATATTTAAAACGCACAGGAACTTCTACTGTATAAAACCATTTTTCGGCTGGTGAACTTTACCACTGCCGTGGTCATAGTGGACCTATCTGGTTAATGCAATGTGGTGTGTGTGTGGGGGTTGTGTATTCCGTAGATATCGGGCTGTTGTAGAATTGGACTGGTGGTCTTTCGTGGATGTTAATTTGATGATGACGATGAGGATGTCTTGTATCTTGTCTGGTGGGAGGTTTTACACTGTACAATCTGTCAGATCTCCTATATTTAAAAGAAGGTTGTGTAGGGCTTATGGTACAGACTGACCATGCTTCGAGCAGTGAAACACCATTCGTAATGTCCCTAAAACGGGGAACGTTGACTGCAGGTACTAGGCAGTCGTGATTGGCATTTCGTTCAGCCACTCTACCTTCCATATAGTTTACGCATGTCTATGGGTTTATGATGAAATACATCTGTTCCCGGACATATACTGTATTACAGTGATAGACATTGTGCCAAAACCTGGTGTGAACGGTTAATGCAGCGAGGTTTAGGATATGCAGCACAACAGTGTGCGTGTGTAGTCATATTTTAAAACCGGCTGTTAACGCCTTTTATGACGTAACACACCCCACAACGCCCATAACTTCCACTCCCATAATGTGTTGGAACAGAACTCAGCTGCGTCCAAATCCGTCACTTGATGCGCACACACACACGTAAGTGTACCGATCGTACACCAGGTGACACCAGAAACATAAGGAACACAGCGCCATCTGTTATAAGTTTTCGTAACTACAAGAAACTGTTATTGTTATTACAGTAAAACCCCTCAAGTTGGACACTCCTTTATATTGGACACTTTTAATTGCAACCGGCGAATATCCTACAATTTTACATGTCCACAATACCCTATAATCTTGAACACCCCTTTATCCTGGAACTTGAAACCCCTTTTGTTGTAATTTGGACAGATTCATGTACTTAACTTTGATGCTTTTCAGGGAAACTTTTTCAATTACATATTTTGTTATTTTGAATTTCTGACTGTTGAATGCCTCCTCTCTGGAGGATTATCTTATGGACATTGAATCCATCATTGGAATGCACTGCAAGTGTTATGGGAGTGGGCTTTGAAAGATTATTATTAATACTATTGTCATTAATTCTTAATTCAAGTAAGACTACAGTAGTTAGTTGGAAATCAACTTTGGGTTAAAAAGGGGGGAGAAATTTCTTGACTAGCTGAGCTACCTTCCTACAATAGGTTCTGCACTATGGCATTTGTAAATAAAATGTGGTCATTGTACAAGAAACTGGGTTGTCCTGCAACTTCTGCTTAGCTAGGAATCTTCCTCTGGAATTAGCCTTCAGCATGGAATTGTTTCAATACCAGTTTATCCAAAGAATCCATAACATATTATAAAATTCAATCACAGACAAAAGGAAATAGGAGCCAGTGTACCACATCTAAATAAAAATTAACTTCTGGGAGTTGTTTACAACTATATGTAATTTTAATGATACCTATTGTGCCTTTTATTCAACTGCATGTCTGGTTTTGTTTTGTAAAACATCTTCTAAAATACAAATTAATAAGGTGGATACATGAATATACATGTTTTGTATACTATGTAATGTCGTTTTACTAATGTGACAAAATTTGTTACTAGTCTGGGTGTACAGGTCAACTTTGAAGCATTCCAGACCTTGGCAGGTTTTATCCGTGAGGTAAATATCTATTACATAGGATTTTGGGTAGCCTCCTCAGGCATTCTGGTTGCTAACAGAAGTATATTTGAAACTAATGTTCTTGGTGAAAATTTTGACTGTGATCTTCTAAACTGTGATCCCATACAGTCTTCTAGGAGGTTACCAATGTTAGTAACCATATTCAAGAATGTTGCATTACAGCTCAAAAGACTGCAAGTGGCAAGCAGGTAATATGTTATAAAAGCCAGGAATCAAACCCTATCAATGCTGGAGTTTATAAAATATATAATTATCATAAATATACTAGTCTTGCATAAGGCCAATTATTAGACGCAATCAACTGTTTTCTGAAATTTATGGTGCTTCAATTTATGATGCCATAGTAACACGTAAGTTACTGATACTCCTGCAATAACCAAGGTCCAATTGACTTAATGTCTAACATTTTATACAATGACTAAAATAGGGATGGTTTATATTACCATACAACGCGTCACAATGGGCGTAATTTCAATAAACCTTGTAAATGTTAAATGTTCATGCCAAGAAAAGATAAACTACAGTTGCAAGTCCCAGAGTGGAATCACCATATGCTACTGGGTGTTATTTTTTAAATATATCTATTTTATTTTATACGGACACACACGAAATAACTAAAGCCTCTAGTGCATGTCCACGGACAAAGTATGTAACGCTGCATAATATCCTGCGGACACTTGTCACTTTTTCATACGATTACGTCCTCACACGTTATTTAAAAATAGTGGTAAATACTAAAAAATTAATTGGTTACACAACGAATAAAAATATAATACTGTGATCTGTTTTGTTTTAGAGTCCATGTCAATGACACTAACCCCACAGGTAAACTGGTACAAGGTATATTGATAACTTGGTCAACATCGGAAAATAAACTACACTTAGAATCAAATAATGACACTCACTTTTTCGCTTGCGTTTTGTTCTTCTATCCTTCCACCAGGTACTAACGAAAAATTGCAGTACGAATTACCTTCTCACATTACCACCAAGGCTACACACAAATGCCGGTCGACATTGTCATGACCCACTCTAATTTCTTTGCATATGACTTTCGTCACGAAGCCAAACTGCAACCACATAATCTATCTACCAACCTAAACGGACAAAACTGTACACATTCATAACGAAATGTGCACGAATGGGAATTTCCGGCAGCAAACTTATGACAAACACCAAAGGGTAATCTTGAACTACGAAGAAATTGCACAGAATGTTGATTACAGTCTTCTGAGTTGTGACGCCAGTAGTCTTGGACGTGATTACAAACGTTTTGGAGAAACGCATCGCTTCCATAAAAAGACGCCGCTTAACAAAACGCAAGACCTCAATCGACACTTTCACTGAACCTCAAATATAAGCTTTTACACAATGGATTTGACGCTGTACTGTTACAGAAGTTAAATACATAATTACATAATATATAATTCCGAGGCATTTCCATCAACGAACTTGTCAGCAAATGCGTTTGCCTACTTACGATAAAAATCACTGCCATGGCTCAACCGGACAAAAAGTATTCCTCATTTATGTCGATGACAGCCCCCCACTTCACCTCACATCAACTTCCAACATTACTAGATTAGATACTGACAACAATCCTTCAAACTTCCAAACCCTACACTTCAAATCTCAGAAGCATATTATTCCTCAGTTCAAGGTAAATGTAGAAAAAGTACTCAAACTGTCCCATCCTAATTACTTCATTATCATCCTGCAACTTCACATAATGAAGCAGTTACATATTATTTTTTAGTGACTGCCAATAATATCCACACAAGGAAAGTTATGTCTATATGTCTATACATCTATGATGTTAAGGAGTAACAACAGACTTAAATTTACTAAAGCTTTAGAGCTATACCACCTCTCCACCTTAGGACCTACATAGCATGTGGCAGGACAGCTTCTCCTTTAAAACTGCTAACATTTTCTTGTGATTCTGAAAATGCCAATGTACCAAAACTCAATGGGCTACTGGTAGATAATATTCCACAAAAAACTTAAATCTCAACAAGTCATTAAGTATATCTCGTCTTTCGTTGTGTCCATGAAAAAGCTTGCTAACAGGAAACAGTGACACATAATCTGAAGCTTTCACGACGATTAAGTATAATAAATTCTTCTTGGGTTACCAGCTACGTAAGTTGACAAGGACAAAGACGGTTCTTGAAACGTTGGTGTTTTCTTAATTAAGCCACCTAACATGGCTGGTAGCCCAAGGAGAATTTATTATAGTAAACAATGAGTTACTGTTTTACCATTATAAGAGGTAGCATAGTAAACACATAAATTAGTATACAATACAAAAAAGGACATGATAATAATTGTAGACTTTGGATATTTTCTTTTCAGAAAATGCATAATTTCCACATTCTTTCACTTTATTAAATAATGAATAAAAATTCTGTTGCAGCCATTTACAACAGCATTACTGCAGTGATGAACCTGATTCCTGTGTATTAGTGCTAGTGCTACATTCCACAACTATCCCAGTCAAAAGATATCCTCCACTCCCACTCATCAAGATGTCTGGGTGTGTGCGGCTTGGCAGGATCTGATGAGAGCGAAGCCATGTCTCTGTTACTCGAAGTCCAACAGTATTGTTCTTTCTCTTAAGTTGTATGTATATTTCCAAAAGTGGTTCTCGATATGGGCAAAATATAATAAATGGTCTTGAAGGAGCAACATATGGCAACAAAGCAGTCAAAATGTTGGAAGGGTGTTCACGAGAAATTATTACTAGGCCATCTGCTTTGGATGGCCTGAGAAAGTCAGCTGCCTTCTCAGTTTCTAGCTCCCACCGTGGCTTCTTTGACATGCTTTCACCTGGGTCAGAATGCTTCCTCTTTCTTTCATGAACTACATTTAAAGTTATTTCCTTTTCCTCCACAAACTCCTTATCATCCTTCTTCAAAGAATCGCATACCAATCTACCACTTCCAGAACCTTTTTCAGTTATAACATTTTCCTTTGTATCAATTACATCATTTGAAGAATTTTCCTCATTCTTTATTGCTTTATTGTCACTTTCAGATTCTGATAAAAAGCTCTCATTAATTACACTTTCTTTCTTGTTCACTTCAACATTGTTTTCATCTGATGCAGAATTTTCTTGAAGCTTTCGAAGGAGACTATATATATTAACACTAATAAGACAAGACATTTTGTCATTGTCATAATTCATTGCAAGGATTGCTTGTTTCTGAGGCAAATTTCCAGGATGGATATGGACAAGTTGTCCACCAATATTGATGTTGTTCAACATGGCAGCTGCTACAAGCCCTTGGCATCCACTCTCATACACCATGTATGTACCATGGGTATGTATGCCAACAATGGTCAAAATCTGTGATAACGTATCCATGCGAAGACCCATGATCTTCAATGGATCTGTACGGTACATGACCTCAGTTATAAGTCTTATAGTTGGCCATCGGATTGTTATATACTCAAAGTATTTTTTCTCTTTCTTTTTTAAGTACTTCTCTTGTGAGTACTCTGTCTTGTCCCGAAATGTTTTGCTGTTCTCAATCAACTGTCCAACAATAGCTTGTCCAGACATACCACTGGTACGCAAGCTCACTATCTCTTCTGTAGATAGCAACTGAGATCTGCCATCATCAAATATATTTCTGTTATCTGATCCACATGACACATCCTTTTTTAATTGTTCTGCTAGGGATTCATAGTTATCACATTCTTTCAGCACAAAAACACGTTTTCCATTCTTCTTTGGTATCATTTTGTAAGTCTTCCATACAGGTCTGCCAATAATTGGTCCCAGTTCTAACTGATCTTTTCCCAACATTACAATACCCTTCAAAGTCACTTTATGCAGTTTAGTGTAATTCTGTCTCTGGATAACTATGTAATCACCCACTTTAACATTATTCTTTTCCATTTCATTGGCCATTCTTCTAGCAACACTGTAACAGAAAATATATATCATTAAACTATTCTCATATCCATTAACAGTATGTTAATTTAGAACAAGTTTGTGACAGAAAGATATACTGCAAGAACAAAAAGATACAAAATAAATATACCCGAAAAGAAGTTATTTTACAACTTCTAGAATGTCTTTCAAAATGATATGCCAAATTTTATTTTGAAGATCATTATTTTCTGAAAGTCAAGAGTCATTTTTTGCATGACTGCAAACACAAAGTACAACAGGTTTCTACTGCTATGCCAAGCATGCTTAAAAATGTTAATAACTTTCATAAAATTGTGCACACATCTTTACAAAATAACCTTTCTTATAACTGCAAATATTTATATCTATCATACCTGAAAGCATTTATTTATAATGAAACTGATAACTCAGGAATGGTAAACTTTTCTGAACAATAACTAGAGTAATTAATCATTGTTCACAAAGAATGCATAACTTCACACATTCTAGATGAAAGGATGTTTCTACGTGTAGGATTATGTCTACAACATTTTCAAGCCAGCCAAACTACCAAACTTGGTTATAAAAATAACCACTACAGATAATGGGCAATTTCAGGGAATATCTTATGATACTAGACCACTGTCACAAACCTTCTGAACCTTATCCACACTCAGCTACCCATGCTACTGGAATGCCACTAACTAGTGAACAGAGGTAGGGTTATTGTTAAAAAGATATTTAAGGTCTGTAAACTTTGTGCAAATTCTGTCTTGTTACAAACCTCTCTTAAAATATCATCAGATTATTCATGTACATACATTCAGCACAAATGAGTTTCTGGTGATCATTTACCTCTTCCAAAGCCCATCTTAAAATATACTCAGAATATAATTCATGTATCATGCACATAAGTACAGAATAAAAGAAGTGTATTCATTTTCTCTGTGGCATATCTGAATCAGCAGAATAATTTACAAAAACTGGGCCAGCAATTTATAAGACCTGGTATGGGTTTGTAACTTACCTTCTATTATGCAAGAATAGGCAGACTGAAACAGTACATATAGTTTATTCCTATTCCTGGAAACGGATATTACTCCACAAAAGCAAGTGCAAATCACAGCAAAATTAATTTGCATGTAGCACTGTGTTGAGGTTCTACTTAACACAAATTGTACATTCCTCGGTTTCGCTTATAATTCAGTACAAGTTTTTTGACATTATGTCACACTCTCGTTACTTCTGACGAATCCCCTCAAAGATACAGATTTTTATGCTAGAATTACATTATACAATAACTTACTTCAAATATGATCTACAAACTTGCGAAAAAATATTGTAACTTAACTCTGTAGCCTATGAAGACCAAAAAACCTGCCGAGTTACCAAAATTAAAAATCTCCTTAACCAGACTACACGACAGAGAATCTAAACACACAATACTATTACGACAAAAAACATGTTTTCACAAGCATTTCACTTCAAATGGTGCTTCTTTCTTCGAACGCCAAAATTATTAATTCAAACGAAATAACCGATGCATTAAACGCAACACATGACAATCATAACCTTAAAAGCATGGAACGCACATTGGCTTCTTACGTACAAATTAGCAACTTCGACATGTTAACTTCTCACCCACAATTTATGCTTTTATCCATAAACACTGTTATAGGTTCAGATTACACATTATGTCCAGGCATATGTCCATGATAACTAAAATATATGGTATAAAAATAAAGGACCATTAATAGTATAACACACTTCTTTCATTACGTAGTTCTCGTCACAACGGTTGGCTACTCCGCCAATTTGACACAATTTCCCACGCCATGCACAGGGCAGTGCTTTGCAAACTGTAATTTCTCCAATTCTTTAACGTATGTAAAACCTCACGCTTTATCTTGGGTTATTAGTTGGTCATTTACGAAATGAAGGGAATAAAATGATTTCCAATGGGTATATCCATACAACTACACTTTTTGTCCAACTATACACTATATATATTACCTGTTCATAATTTATTTCCTATTTACATTTTTTAAGCAGAATTTTCACACAAATGTTGTAATGTTTTAATATTATCTGTGCTTATATATCTTTTCTTTAAGGATTTCCATCACATAATATAGCAGTTACATTATCGTAAGTTCTTGTCAAATCAACAAACTTCTTTTATACTGCAATTTCCTTCTGTTCTTCAGTTAACTGTCCTAAAAAATATATTACCAATTATAAATGACCCCATCTATATCCTGATTGTTCCTTTGATTTTTGTTTACAAAGAGAATTTTACAATGTCCATACACTCTAGCTATACTCACTACAGAAATACTGTGCACTCTATCATCCTTTATGTTTTGCTGAAAAGTATGCTACTTTCAAATCTTCATCTTCCAGTATGTTTCTCCAGTTATATGTTTCTAAGAAGTTCATTGGTTCCATTTCAAATCAGTTCTGCTGGTATTCTACCTAGTCCATTCACATATTTTAGTGTTCTTTACACTTTAGCATCCCTCCCTAGGGACTGCAAGACCTTAATGTTGGTGGGAGGGTTCAGTCCCCTAATGACCCGAAGAGTAATGCTGGCCGGAACGTATGTTCCTGGTAGAGCCACCCATGCCGGTAAGGTCTGAGGAGAAGGGGCAAGCAAAGAAGCAGTCCGGCCAGCCTGGGGACCAAAGGAGGCAGCCCCTCCACCAGGTTCGGGCAGCTGAGCGGCTCATAACCCACACTGCCTTAAATCTCTAATATGAAAGAAACTGATATAAAACAATACCGGCCTGATTCTCTGTTGATGACCCTAAGCATGAAAAAAAGAACAAGAATAAGGTTACATGGCAGAGATCTATTGAAAAGGAAGCAAGATCACATGGTAAAAGTTGGAAGGAAATTAAGGCACTCGCCAAAACCGAGTGAGGTGGAGGAGCTTTATATCAGCCCTATGTTCCCAATAGGAATAAAAGGAATTAACTAACTAACTAACTAACACTTTAGCATAAGTTACAGACCTGTTCATTTCTGTGTGTTGCATCTTTCAGTGTAGATCATACTGCCATCAACTGGCGGTCTTACAATCTACACGCTCTACCACAACTCAAGAACAGATGAACAAGTATTCATACTACAGACAGTTTCAAACTGAATTACAAAGTATCAAGATACACACGCTGGAGTTTCATTAATGGTTTCTATTATCACACCAAGTTGGCTGAACCACAGTGGAAAGATCTTAGGATCACATTAACACGGTGGCTCCTAAGAAATTTTTTCAGTTATCATTCATGTGCCGGCTAAGGTGTTAGAAATGCATTACTTCACTCTATAAAGACTGGGATTTCATGTAACAATACAGTCCTGTAACCCACCAGTGCCTCTCATGGTAGTAAAATTAATACCTGTGAGACCACTTATGACCTTCATAGTAGCCAATCTGTTAAAATGGAAACATACAGTTATTCATACTTTAATTCTCACCTGGCAAATCACATTGCTCCCTCAATTTCTTCGTTGGCTGGATGATTTAACGTGTTAATGACACGTTCAATGTTCACACTGTATACTGTGTGAGATGGAATCACATTACGATGAACCTAGCACACAAACATTACATATACTAGTAAACACAGTAATAATCAAATTACTGCCCTACCACTCAGTAATCTCAAATGTTTATTTACAATGTAATAAAAATTAAATTAATTCAATCCGTGGCGTAACAGCCCTCTTAGAACCAAAGCCGACTATCTTGACTGCTGGCCTCACGTTCACATGCCTAAGCAGAGGTGAACGATCATCCAACCAGATATAGGGTGATGTGTGGTCAGCATGACGAACCCCCAGCCATTGCTAGTTTCCATGACTGGATTACGCTACCCATTGTAGCTCCCCAATTTCCTCATGATGCTGGGTTGGCACCAAAAAAAAACCCCCGAGACTCGAACCAGCGTGCATTTCGTATCGCCGGTCTGAAGCATGATGCCCCAGACTGCGCAGCTAAGGCGCGGGACATTTACAATGTAATAACAATGCAATAATGTGAGTGTATAAATTATATAAGCAATAATGAGTTAAGAAATTAACACAGATAGTTATACTAACCTGGAGAGCTTCCAGGACTTGATAAGCATTAACTGGATATTGGGCAATACTAGCAACATCACCACATGCTATTTCATAAGCTGCCTTCTGCTCTATTTCATCCAATGATAAGTTGTGTACTGGTGACTTCATCCTTCCAGCTTCATTTATGTTAGTCGACAAGCTTAAAGGCAAAACAAGTTATATAAATTAAGTTTCCCGCCATGCATATTTTCTGTCAGGAAGGAAAATGAATCATTGAAAATGATTTGCATTACAGGCATTTGGCATGTACAGCTGTGAAGGACTCCATTTTGTCATTTATTTGGTTATTTTATACCACATAACTGGAGACCCAGAAAACCACTGGGCATACAAGGTGCGATCAGAAAGTTTCAAGACTGTGTCAATAGAGGGCGAACCGGATGTAGTACGAGCGTTGTGTTCACTCCCAGGGGAACTACTTTGAGGGTGATGGATGAATTTAATACCTGAGATAAGTGTACGGGTTTTTATAGGCGCAGTCTGTAAACTTTCCGATCGCACCTCGTATGTTGTTCTTGTGGGTAGCATCTCTGTGTGAACATGTAAGTGGATACCACCAAACACACTTGGCCTAACAGCCCAGACAAAGAACACTGGCCTCTTTGCCACTGTAGTGAACCTAAAGGAGAGGCAACACTAAAAAGATTCTAAAAACTGTGGATATCCTGCTCCTCATGTTAGCTGAGAAAGTAGTTCTTCTTCTGCCTAAAGTTGTGTCCACACTTAAGGGATGACTTCTGCATGTAAGCCTCAACTGGCTCTACCTCCTATTCTTTCACTTCATGTACTCTCAAGAAAGTGATTACACTTGTTAATAGTGCAAGATCATTCAATATTACTTTGGGTTCTAGAACTATTCAGGAAATACTCTGTACTAGGGAGTTAAAACATGGATATGTATTTACCTCACTGCCACATCATCTATAATATTCATTGTGTTACAAAGCCATGGATTAGGTACTGCTGATCCCATGGCATATAAGAAATGATCTTCTCGCACTTTGTATCCTTTCCTTCGACCCAAAATAGCTGTCAGCACATTCTTCAAAAAATGCTGCATAACAACCAGAGATAAGTAAAATGTACACAGTAATTTCAGGATCATTAAGTTACTCTTTGTCCCACAAATTACTACTGCATTTAGCCATCCTTAAGATGACCCCATGACAGTGGGAATACAACAAAATTACTTCATAAGAACAGACATATTAAACATTTAAGTAGCTATTAAAATGAATATGATGACCCTGATGACGGAGGCAGTATGACCTCTGAAACGTTGGTTAACATCGACCAGACTACACTGCGCAACAACCCAGAAGACGGAAATCTTCATACTCACCGCTGTGAGAACCTCAAGTCTTACATAGCTATTAAAATGTAGGACATTCTTTAGTTACTTTGTTAATACCTGAACACCAACAACCAAGAGTTCTGCAGCATGTTCCTCTGCTCCATCAAGACCCACTTCCCAAGCAGACAGTATCATACGACCAAAAATAAGTGGCATGTCCGGTAAGAACAATTCTTGTGCACTGTAACGTAATGGTTCTTCATGTACATGTGGTGGCAGAGCATTTGGTGGAACAATATAGTCAGCAATATCTGCTGGCTGCAACACAATTACACAATATCATCTGAATATCCCCCACAACAACACAGTTACATATCAAACAATTGCACAGTGTGGGAAAGCAAGCAATGTCTTACAAGATGAACTGTACAAAGTGTACCGTAATATCAGTATTGTGCAAAATAAAAAGTGCACAGGCGCATTCGTTCAAATGCTCTTATGGGGGATACAAAGACATAATATAAGAAGTCTGTCTTCACTTATAAATATGGAAAGCAGGCTAAAATGTACTAGTATCTCAGTTACAAAAAATTAGTTAAACAGCTAACAACGAAATATGTTTAAATGTACGGAAATTAAGTATCATTCAGATGCTCAAATGTTGTAAAGCTTTATTATATTATATTAAAGTATTATGTATTAGAGAGGAGAAAATTTCCAATCATGGATAAAATGAAAGCCATGTATATAGTGAACAATGCTAATAAAACAAAATACCCTATGTTTTACCAACAACTGATAATTTTAATTATTTAGAAATCATGAAACCAGTATAGAGAAGTGCCTTTTGTTTATGTAGATGACAAAACAATGATTCAAGACTCACAGACATTGCTGCAATAAAACATACCACCAGTACAGCAACTATGTTATTACTATACAAATTTAGATTTCAGAAAGAAGTATGTATATGCAACTTTTTAGATTACATTACTTTTAAAGAATTCCATGAAGCAGAGTCCTTATTGAGAAGCTAATAGCTACTTAGCTGATCAAAAGTTTCTCCTGCTTTTACAGTTTCATTACCATGATCACAGAAAATGCCACTGGTCCCTGTACTGAGCCAGAAGAATCCATTCTACGCTCTTACACCCTATTTTGTTAAGATCCATTACAATACTGTCCCACCTACTGTACTTCAAAATTTTAACTTATTATTTCACACACACAAAGTAATAAAATACCTCAAAATTCCCTTTGTCAGATCTGCTCCTTTTCTTCACCTTAGTTCTTCTATTGGTTTTATCCTTCAAAGCACTGCTTGTACTTTTGGATGGTGAAAATGATGTTTTACTTGATACAGGAGGACGTGATGTAAATGAGGCAAGGCCCTGACATTTGTTGAACAGGCAGAGGAGGAATTCATTGTGCAGATGAATCTGCTCAGCTGTCATTAGTTTGCGAGACTCAGTATCAAATTCTTCTTTGGTGGACTATATTACATAAAGACAAAGTTGTTCATTGTAATTAGAACATAGGCACAAAGAAAATAGTACGGTTATAAATGGCAATTATAAATTATACCCTAAGAATATATCTGGAGAAAAAATAATAAAATTCATACACTTACAACTATTCCAAATAAAAGAAAGGACTAGACATAATAAACATGAGTTACTTATTAGTCAGGTAAATACACATACAAACATTAGAGCACAAAAGGTGTGGATATGTTCATTGTCCAAATGCTTAGTCAGCTAGTATTAATGCACTAGCATGTTACAAACTAATTGGCAATGTTACATAATGATATTAACATAAAAGAAGCTTCACAGAAAATATTAAAGTAGTGCACGCTTAAAAGGATATATATGCCAATTTCAACTACCTGCCGACACCAACTGTCATTCTTGAATAACAACATTAATCTTTAATTATGTGTTATATTACCTTTAACTGAAACCAAAGTTTCATCAACTGGAAGTAGCTGAAACAAAAAAATCATGAAGGGAAGTAAACTTGATGGCATTGCGAATTAAATGTAGCATGGATTATTCTCATATAATACAAATAAAGGGGCACAAACCTATGTGACATAGTTTGGATACACTGAGCACACATCCGTAATTCCTAACCTAAAACGTCCTGAACATCAAAATTTAAGTGAGAAACTTACTGTTTTGTGGTTTCACCCAGGGCAGCTTCCAACTTTTTACGAGCATTGTTTAAATCGTCACACCCGGACATCTTGTCAGTAAATTATACAGTTATGCAAAAATGACATATCCTGAAGTATAACCTACTAAAATCAAATGTAAGCTTTCTGTTGATATACCTTGAAATGCAATACCACCAACATCAATAATATAGAATCTCTGCATTCA